TGTTGAATTTCAACTTGAGGAAATAGTAGTTAGTGACCCTGTGTAGGGTTTCTATGGGAGCCGTTGGTGAATTTGAACCACTGACCTTGCAGTTCAAATGGCTTTGCAGTCTGGTGCATTAACCCACAGCGCCATACCAGGACTCCATAATTTCCCTTAATTCATTGCACTTAACCTTCCCATTGTTTGTATGAACCACAAATTTGAGAGCAAGCTGCTAGAAGTCAAAGTGTTTGAATACCAACCAGATCAGTGGCATTTCCTCCATTCGGAGCAGGTGGGTGTGGGCATCATAGCCCAGCAGGGTTAGCTGCTCATACTCTCTATAAACAGCTGGCAGCTCAGCCCAGCTGCTCATGGAAAAGGCAAGTGCAGGCTGCTTACCCACTGGTAATTATGTGTCAAGTGCGGTGAATCTAAAAATAACCTGAACTCAGCCAGGGTGGTTTACACTGTCAATGGCTTTCACCTCAACTGTTAGCATGACAAGCGAGCGAGTAACTATAGCAACAGAAAAATGAACCTGTAAAAAAGTCAGGAAAAGTTTCGATTTTATAAAACATGTATTCCGGTCTCTGCCTCCAAATCTCTGAATCCAAACGCTTCAATTATGTGGCAGTAATAAAAACAGAAGTTGGGCAGAGTTGTGACAAAACTCATATCCTTTCCAGTTTTAGGTTCCACAGCCAAGAGGAAAGTTTATTTGATCACCTTTATGATTAAAGGGTCATTTGAACAAACTACTTTATATTGACAGGTTGTCTCCATATTGGTTCTGCTGTCACTTATAAAAACAGCTTTGACACTTAGTTGATGTTTTAAGGAACAATTATATGTATGAAGTACATGTATAGTGATTTGGCATTCTCTTGAGAGGAATGCAACTCAGAAAAATTAACATTAGTAATAGAAAGAACTCCTAGAACAGGTGGTCTCTAGATAGTTTTCATAGCTGCCTCAGTAGCGTATGGTCCAGTGCATTCTGGGGGCTCAGCAGACACATCATCCACTTCTGATAAAGCCACTCTCCCTCACCCGGCTCACACATAGTCTCGTTTTAGGATTAGATAAAAAAAATTCCAGCATCTTTTTGCATAATTTGATACAAGTTAATGCTCTTGGGTGCTGGGTAATGTGGTATGGACCCAACTCTTCAACTAATAACTCACACTACTCAGCTAAATGGCCAAGAACTGCACGAGTCTCTCATGCTTTTTCCAACACTGGGGTGACTGGGGGAGAAAGGGAGGCTGGGGTGTTTCAAGGGGAAAGGACGGTTGGGGAGAGTGTTAAGAGGGATGAGGACGTGAGATCTATTGAATACCCACTTTGAACTAGGGCCTGTGCTAAACTTTAAAAAACATAGTATCTTGGCAAGAAACTGGCAAGGTTGTAGTTGTTGGTTAAAGTGTTTACTGAATCCTTTTTGACTTGTGTGCTGTGGAGTTGGTTCCAACTTACAGCAACCCTGTATAGGGTTTCCAAGGAACAACTGGTGAGCTTGAACCACAAGCCCCATGGTTCAAACTGACTTTGTAGTCCAGTACATTAACCCACAGCACCACACTAGGACTCCTGACTCATGGTGACCCTGTATAGGGTTTCTGAGACTATAAATCGTTGCTAGAGCAAAAAGTCTCATCTTTCTCCCAACGAGCAGCCAGTGGACTTGAACTACCAACTTTAATATCTCTTAATACCCTTATTACCACTTAATATTCTTCTTCAACTTTATCCTCCTCCAGATTATCCCCTTAATATAAGCAAATACATATTTTTTCCCTTCATTTTACACATGAGAACACATTCATAATAAGCAAACAAAGCTATGATGTGACAGATGCTGGGCTCAGCCCCAGGTCCACTTGGTCCTCATAAGGCTGTTTCTCTTTCTCAGGTACCACTCCAAGTCACCCTTTGGCTGACTGGTACCTTAAGTCTACATATGGACTTTATGGTGCTAACTATATGCACATAAAGCAGTCACAGGTTTTTAGTGAGGGTCTTAGAGTTTCCAAGCACAGAATCTTAGGTCGCTTTGATAGCTGCTCTGTTATCTCCCCTTTATCCAGGCAACCTCTGTGAATGTTTATTTACATATTAAATATATATTGTTCTGCCATCTGCTTTTTCCAGTTAACAATATGTATCATGGGTCTCTCCCTATGTTAATACATATCAAGAGTATTTTAATGTTTATAAAGACTGCACTACTATGTTGTGGACTGCTGATACAGCTCTGTAGGATCAGCACTGGACTGCGAACCACAAGGTCAGCAGTTCAAGCCCACCAGCTGCTCCTCAGAAACCCTATACAGGGTCGCTATGACTCAGAACCGACTCCATGGCACTTAATAATAACAACAACAACTATGCTGTATTCAACCCCTTATGGATGGATATTTTACCCATTCCAACTTTGTACCAAGCTAACAATCAGAAAAAATAGAAAACATTCGGAAAATGTTACTAGGACACTAAAATAATTTCTTAAGGAAGCATAAATCAAAAGGAAAATTGAGAGCTTTATCTTAATTCATCTTTCTTTGTGCTTACTTGAAATCTTTGCTCAGAGTCAAAACTGGCTAGAACACAGGGGGATCATTTCCTAATACACTATGAGAATCTGCAGATGATCTGAAATGCACATGTGGCCCTGGGACCAGGAGTTCTGTGTGGCATTCCCCCACCTCACTCAAAAAAAACTGCTGTCCTGCTGCCTCTATGAAGAAACAGAGTCGACGGCTTTGGGAAGGGATTCTCACAGAAAGTGAAACGTATGCACAAAAACACATCTACTTTTGTGGTTAGTTGCAAACTCACAGCTGGTATGGGCTTTTCTTTCCATTGTAATTAGAAGTGTTTCCCCTTCACATGCAATGAAGAAATTTTCTCTTAGTGCTGAGCAATTAAAAGACCCAAATCAGAGCAAAAGCTGTTTGAACACCCAGAAGTGTAAGTAAAGTTGCTTTAAAAGTTGCTATAAGTATTGAACAACTTGGAAATTTCCTAACAAGATTTAGTTCCAGTTAATCTTTACCCACTTCTTTGTTTTTCACTTTGGTCAAAGTCAAAATCAAGTAAAGCAAAGGTCATCCAAGTAGTCAGAAAAGCAAAAAGAAAAATATAATTAAAAAAATAATTTACTAAATTTATTTTTTAGTAAATACTAATTATCTATCTATTTAGTGTAGTGCTGTAGGATCAGCATTGGACCACAAGGTCAGATTGAACCACAAAAGGCCAGCAGTTCCAACTCAACCAGGTGCTCCTCTTAAACCTTATAAAGGGTCACCATGAGTTGGAACCAACTCCTCGATGGTATATATATAGATACACATATATATTTATATAAATTATATATATTTATAAATATATACAGATATAGATACAGATGTTGATTGGTTCCAACTCTTAGCTACTTTGAATAGGGTTTCTGAGGCACAGCTGGTGGGGTCTGAACTGGCAACCTGAATTTTTAAGTATGATGATGATATTTGATAATGTGTTATTCATTTAACTTCATCCTATATGAGGTTTTTTTTTTTTTTTTTAAATATTATAAAGCAGCATATAAACAGAGTTTAAAAACTGGTGGACCTAAATGTGACAGAGTAACATTTCTTGCTGCGTGAAGAGAAACTACCTGTTGATTATCTCTCAGGGTTTCTCTCTTGCTATGTTCCTCATGAGCCCTTTTCCTGAAGGAATGGTGGGCAAGTGGAAATAAGGCTGAGGGGAGAATTAGGCCAACTGCCTGACAAGACACTGAATACAGGCAGGCAGTCATCCACTTATTTCAGTAACCCTAGAGATGCTAAGAGAATATTTAATACTTGCTACTGATGGTCGTGAAGTCCTGGTGTGGTGCTGTGGGTTAATGCACCAAATTGCAAAGCCGTTTGAACTGCGAGGTTGGCAGTTCAAGCTTACCAGCTGCTCCTTGGAAACCCTATACAGGGTTGCTATGGGTCGGAACTGATTCAATGGCACTTCACAACAACAACTGATGGTCTTGTTTAAGTTACAACCAAATGACAGTCATCTGATCACATGTAATGGAGCCATGACCTAATAGGCTAAGAGCTAAATAGTGTCTGATGGTAGAGTCCACCTCCAGTGACAGTCCCAGAGGTGGGCTGCTTTCTGGAGACCTAGAGGGGAAAGGGTCTTGGGGTGAGTTTTCTTTGGCTTCTCCTCATAGGTGGGATAAATCCTGATTTCTTATAGTAATAGGTACTGCCATTTTCCACATACCACCGCCCCCATTAGCTACTTCCTTTAGCATTCTTGTATTTTCCTAGTTTATTCTCAAACTATGATGTTGGACATTAGAGAATAGGGAACGAAAAGCTGTTTATAAATAGCTGAAAAATAATACAGTGTCACAAAAGCTTTTGTAGGTAGCATGGTGTTACTGAAGCAATACATATATGGTAGGGCAGAGACCATTTCTAATATAAAAGACTCATCTCTCACAAATGTAGACTACTATATGAGGGCTTTCTCATGTGACCAATGTATAACTCATATCTGATCTGAACATCAGAGGAAGACGTTTCTGAGAACAGAAACACATTTGGTCTTGATCTGCATTTTGAAAAAGTGGTTAAAAAATACATCTATGTAAAAATAATATACATTATGATTGTAGACAGGCTGGAACATCAGAAGAGTTAATCATTTGATCTTGACAGTTCAACATTTCATTTCAGCCTGAGGTAGATACTCATTTACAAAGGGCTGTGCAACAGTTAAGAGTTGAGATCTACAGTCAGATGGCTTGGGTCTGAATTTCTATTCCATGCTTATACAGTAACATAGTCTTGGAGAATTTTCTTAACCTCTTTGGGCTTCAGTAATAGAACTTCTGCCATGAACTATGATGAGGATTAAACAAGAGAAGTCATATACCACAGTCTGATGCAGCAAAGCTGTTACAACTATGATTATTCTCATGACAATTATCATTACTCCTAGGGTCAAAGCAGTTCACTCACCAAGATGAGTGTGCATCACCTTTGCACAGTATTTGCACATGGCATCCAGGTCATTCAATTGTCCTTGAAGAAAGGAAATTTGGGCTTCTAATTCTTCTTCCTACAATGAAGAGGTAAAGATATAAAACATTTACAAATATATATTAAAAGAAAACTCCCAAAGTTCCTCAATGCTCTGATATATTTTAGAGATATCTCTCTTTTCAGTCTTAGACAAGATAAAACAGCAGATAAAAAATAAACTCATTGTCACCTCCAACAAAATAGAGAAAGGGTCAAACAGAGACTTAAAATCTGGATTTCTTTTAATTGAATGATAATATTGTATGGTGTTCAAGTGTTTACACATATGTTGTTAAGTGCCATGGAGTTGGCTCTGACTCATAATGATCCTGTATAGAGTTTTCAAGGAGCTGTTGGTGAACTTGAACTGCCGACCTTGAGGTTCAAACCGACCTTGCAGTCCAGGGTATTACCCCACAGCACCACACCAGGGTTCCATTTACACATATTTGTTGTTGTTGTTAAGTTATGTCGAGTCGCTTCCGACCCATAGTGACTCTGTATAGTGTTTGAACTTGAACCACCGGCCTTGAGGATCAAACTGCCTTTGCAGTCCAGCACATTAACCCACATAACCTTGCATTAAAAGTAAATAAATATTGAACAACATGAACTGAAGGGAAAAATGGAAATTCAGTGGACTGTGTAGTTCCTAGGCAGCTGGTACAAAACCACTGCATTTTCTCTGACACATTTGAGAAGGCAAAGATTTCCATTTGTACAAGATAAATCTCAACAGTTTCGAACAATCTCTTTAACTGTGAGATTTTCCAAAGTACTTGGAAAAGTTTTGTACCAACAGCCCATAAATAGCGGTTCTTAACATTTTCTCTACTGATATTAGACTAGTGTATTTATTTATTTGTTTGTTTCTAAGAAAAAGTAGTCTGAGTTGAGTAATTACCTAAATGGCAAAAACAAAACAAAACAAAAAAAACCCAACTGTAACAAAAGGATAAAGTCTCTTTTTTAAGGAAAATACTACACACACACACACGCACACGCACACGCACAAAAAAAAATTGCCAAGGAAATTTAGACAATTATGGGAGTATTTCTCAGAGGAAAGAGAATAATTCCTATATTATTTTAAATCAAATTAGCTGGAATGCAAAGAAAGGATATTGTCTGGACTGGCATAAGCTCTAAAATAGAGTTTTCAGTCTCACATGCTGATTCTTTCACAATCAGAACCCCTGGTGAAAAGAACAGAAGAAAAATCTACCAAAGTATTTTTTTTTTGCTTAGAGATTGAGTATACTTTGGCTTACGACTGGAAATGTAATAGGTGAAAAAGTTACTGGTAGGTGTAACCCATTTTAAAAACACACATATGGAACACTGAAAAGTACTGTTTTTAAAGTGCTGCCTGGCAAACCAGTCTTAACTTCCGAGTACGCATTTAAGTGGAAGAGGTTGCAATTACCGAGATTAAACAAACATAGTTTGCTGAATGTACAACTGATGATCTTGTTTGTAAACTTTCACTCAAGTCACAATAAAAAAAACAAAACAAAACAAAAATGAAAAAAAGACTATGCATTTAAGTACTTGACACAGAAAACACACAGCAGCAGCCCCCACTCCCCAGAAAATAACAAAAACCATTGTGAAAACCCCATTGTACGATCATGCAAATGCTAACCACATTCTTTTTACATGCTACAAAGCGCTGCAGCCTCTCCTCTGATACTCAAGGACAAGATGGCACTGGGAAAAGCCCAGGTGAAGGATACTTAAGGGGACTTTGGGTATAGGTTGAGCCACTTTTCTCACCCTTCAGGTGGCAGCAAGGGAAAGGATGGGTGTTCAGGGCATTTTCCTTCTCCTTTTCCACCTTTGTTTCTGCATAGGCTTGAGTTTTCCTGTTCTATGAAGACACTGCAGGAATTACAGGAAGAAGGCTACGTGTGTTGGCTAACTAGGTTGTGGTTAGTCTCCAAAGATGGCCACCATCAATTTCTTTCCTCCCTGACTGTACACGTTGCTCCGCTTATCATGAGGTAGAATCTATTTCCCCTCTCTTTGAATATGGGCTTGCCTGGATCCACAGACTGTAGCAGAAGCGAAACCATTCCAGTTTGGGGCCAGTTTAAGAGGTAGGCCTACTTACGTGTTAATCGGGGAAGATGGTTGCTATCCTTTAAGGTTTTGGCTGGAATACTGAAAGGAGAGCCCATGTGTAGAGAAACAGGCCACAGGAGATGAGCCAGACATGTGAATAAAGTCTTCCTACACCTTCTAGCCCAATACACGTGACAGTAAGGTTACTAGGATTGGTGCCACCGTGTGGTAACTCACAGTGTCACCTCATACCTCCTGGACCTCCTCTTATACCAGACTATACAGAATCCTTAGTAATGTCTATTGTCAATTTTAATCATAGAGTGATATGTGATAAATATAGCTGTAAAATGATTAAATGTTAAATGATTATTAACAAAATTGTTTTGTAAAATCATTCTACATTGAATTACAAACTATTTATGACAACATTCTTAGTAACTTGAGTGGAAACCTTTTTTGATTATTCTCTTTTCCTTTCATTACTACTTAAAATTCTTTAAAAAGTTAATGATATAAGTTCACAAATATTAATCACCACAATATTATAGCTAAAATACCAGACAGAACACTGGACAAAACTGGTGACTATAAAAACACCAGCAGCAATGAAAGCCACAACACATGATCATAGCATGTACAAATGAAACCACATGATTCGAAGGGTCATTGTAACTGGATAATAATGACAAGTTTTGACTGGAGTACATGTGTTGTTGTTGTTGTTAAGTGCCGTCGAGTTGATTTCAACTCATAACGACTCTATATAGGGTTTCTGAGGAACAGATGTTCAGTGGAACCACAACCGCCAAACTTGTGGTTCACACCAACCTTGCAATCCAGTGCTTATGCTACAGCACCACACCAGGATTCCTGGAGTACATTGTTGTTACTGCTGTTGCTAAATGCTACCGAATCGGTTCCGACCCCCAGCGACCCTGTCTAGGGTTTCTGAGGAGCAGCTGGTGAGCCTGAACCACCAAACTTGCAGTTCAAACCAACCTTGCGGTCCAGCGCATTAAACCATAATGCCACACCAGGACTCCATTAGAAGGTTCAAAAAGTATATTAGTTTAGAGATTTAGCCTTGTAGATATACAGATAACATGTAAGCTGTGTTTAAGAAATATGTTTTTGCTTGCCCAGGAAACATCAAGGCAAGTGGTCGGGTCCCCTCAGTGCAAACTCCCTTCCAAGACTAAGACTCAATGGGAATACACACTGTGATTGGTAACCACGCTCGACACCTATAAGGGTAAGTAAGGGAAAAACAGCAATGAAGCGGTGAGCTAAGCCCTACAACGTTCAATAGACCTCTGCGCACCGGGATGAAGACCTGGTTGGCCAGCAGTGTTTCAAGACCTGGGGACTCTTGGGCCCAGGGTCAGTGACATACGCACAGAGGACTAGAGCAGAGTGAAGTGTCCAGCTGATAAGAAGAGAGGACATATGCATAAGAACACCCACACTTGCAGATAATACCCACTTATCCAGGCTTCAGTGAATGGATGATCAGAGCTCAACCAGAAGTAAAAAGAAGAGGAAAAAAAAAAAAA